TAGACTAATACAGTGAATTTGATAAAATGTTCAGAAAAACCTCTTTTAAGACTAACATTGTGACTTTTGAGCTAAATTTCTCTAAGAAAGAAAGCTAACTTGTGAAAATAACAAGAAAAGTTTAAAATCTGTTAGAGCCAATTTGAGCTGCATCTTTAAAAATTTATATTCTAAAACAAGGGAGATAAATTCACATCCAGAACCGTAATTCTAGGTACTTTATTGGGAAACATTGTCCCTCTTTCTGCACAATTTTTAAAATTCACTTTATTTTAACATTCATGTACTATAACTCAGTTACCATGTAAAACATGTCTAGATTAGGATAAGGTCAGAAATGATTTTCAATCCTTTGAGAAGTTCTGAAAAAAAATGTATCTGGACTTGCAGATGAAAATAAAAAACTTGTAAAAGAGTTCATGTATCTGAAATAAGAAAAAATAGATATGATTAACTGAGATATTTTTGTTTAAATTGTGACTCTCTTAGATACAGTGTTTTAAAAGTATCTTGACGTTTACTTATAAAAATCATAAATACTCAAAATTAATATTTGAACTGGGAAAATTGTCAAAATCAAAACATGCACTGGAAAACATTGACTTTGCCATTTCAGCATTTTCTGACCACAAATTATTTTTTTAGAAAGTGCCTTGGCATCTTTAATAGCTAGCGAAGTGCCAGGGTCTTATACATTTTTTTCCTCTGATATCTGGTACATTTTTGACTAGCATAATATTAATGACTCTGAGTTTATCTCAAGGCATTAATGTATTCTGTTTTGCTTATATGTTTTTCTTCCCATGGGATTCTTTGATTCATGAGGAGGCAAATTCATCAGACTGATACTCATAGTCTGTATGTAACACTGCTATATTTTTTTTTTTTGGTCTTTTTCTTTCCCCCTGTACTCAGTAGTCCATGATATAAGTAATTATCAGTCCTTTATCTCTGAATATTTTGATAGCACATTTCTCTTATTTCTCTTTTTTCTTTCTTTTTTTCTCTTTTCTTTTTTCTTTCCTTTTTTCTTTTTAAATTCTTTTTTTCTTATTTTTCTTTTTTTTTCCTTTTTTTTTTTTCTTTTCTTATTTTTTCCTTTTTTATTTTTTATGACTTTTTTGTTTTTATTTTTTATTTTTATTTTTATTTTTTTAATTTTTCTCTTCTCTCTCATCAGCCCTCTCTATCTGGAGAAGCTAATGCACCTTGTCAGTGGCTGAGGTTGGACACTTCTTTGTTCCTTAATACTACTGTCACCTGCCACTACATTTAAGCCATGTTAACAAATGTAAGCTAAATATTGCCCAGTTAAAACCCAGAGAGAGGCAAAATCTCTAAATGCTCATGACAGCGAATAAGTTTATTTAAAAGTCACAGTGTGAGTCCCCACTTTCTGCCTTCCTTGGAGGTTAGTTTATAAGCTTCAGCTCACAAAATTACCCACAGAGAACATTGTGATTGTAAACTGTCATTGTAAACCGTCATACTGTGGCAGGGGGCTGTAGGCTGTTACCCAAAATCTCAAAACCAGCTGTATTCCTACAGCTGTGGTTATTTTTATCAGATCTTCGAAAGGTGAAAGTATGACATAAGAATGCACAATAATTTGTCAGCCCACTTTTTAATCCAGTAAATATTTGTGGTGGCTGGGCAGTAAGATATTATTGTGCTTTTTCCCTGAAGGATTTGAGTTTGCAACTTATTTTTATTCTTATGGATCTGCAAGAATCAGGAGGAAACCGCCCATTTAGGCTTGCCCATCTCTCTTGCACTATATTATATGGTAATCAAGCATACTTCAGATTGATGACCTTTCATCAAGGGCTGTTGTTTAACAGCATACAGTGCTGCAATCTGGGCTTTTGTGTGTTTTGAGTATTGATTTTCCAGATAGAGCGAACTGCAATAATAACCTGGGGAGGTCTGGCAGCACTGTGACCTGGTTTGCTTTTATTCTTTATGGCTCTAGGCAAAACAGTCCGTTCCCAGGAGCTGTGGGCTGTAACCATCTCTCCCTCCAGCTTTCTTTTCCGGCTTCTTTCCATTCCACTTTTCTTCTCTTCCCAACCTGCCTGTTGCAGATCTGCCCACTGGGATCTTTCCCAGCACCCCAGGAGCAGCAGTGTTCAACTCAGCCTGCATTGCTAAGCAGCCTTGCCCTGGTGCTACTAATAGCAGGGCATCAGAACCCAAGTTGCATATCAGGTGCACAATTGCATATCCAATTCAATTTTGGTCAAGAATCACTTCAAAATGGTGCTGTGCATTGATAACATGTTGTCTTTTTCCTTTGGATAAAGAAACATGCTGGCTCTGTCTGGTTCAAAATTCTGTGTAAGTTTCCTTCTTCCCTTCATAAAGCTCGAGGGTATGAATCCCATTCACGCTGGGGTACCATGGTGATAGGTGGCTTACAAATACCAAAGACAGAAAGTGTGATGGTTGCCGTGGTATGCTTAATCCCCTTGTGATCCTCTTTATAGAAGACTAATTCTGTGTGAGGCACCTATGATCCAAACTAAATGCTCTCCATGTCAATTAGATGAGAATATGAGGAGCAGTGGTGTCTCGTGGGATCGAGCTGGTGACTGATGTCAGTACTCTGTGTTTCTAAAGCTGTGGCACCAGATGCCTTTGTAATCTTTCATACATTTACTTGATCTAAAGGACTCTGGAAATGGGGTTCTCTTACCTGATTGAGGTTACTTACCGCTATTTCAGAATACAATATGCTGTCAATATTTGTTCATCAAATGTAATGGTGAGTATGCAACATTTATAGGGTCTTTCCTTTAGGATTACCACTGGGAATAGCAGAGTCACAGCCAATTGCCACAGCTGCTACTTATGAGAGCTAGCTCAGTTACCATAGCTTGGTTGGAGTAATGTAGCCATGCATCATAAGTGTATTACCCAGAAAATGCAATGCAGTTGATACCTCTTTGAAGAGATTCACTCATTTCAAAAATCTCAGGAGACAAAATAAGTTATCTGTGTGGCTGAATCACTGAACAAAAGAGAAGCCATTTGTTATCTGAAGAAACAGGACAGCATATGTTTCACTGCGGTGTGGCTGGCAGCCTAGAGCCTTGAAAAATATGTTCTTGTCTTCAGGGGAGCACAGACATCAACTTTGTGCATCTCAAGAGGTGTTAAAACAACATCTGATGAGTCAAGTTGCAGTCAAATTAGCCTTGCTAGGGAAGAGCAAGCAACATATTCAAAATTTTGGCAACTGCCTTTTTACCTTTGCCTTTTTTAAGCACAGAAAATCCACTGTGGTTTCTCACAAGTTTTCTTGATTCTTGAGCTTTACAATAAAGAAAGATGCCCTGAGCAATTATGTCTCTCACCCAACCATCTTGAAATTTTAACTTTAGAAGTGAAAATTAAAAGTTAAAAACCAGACAGTATTCTTGCTTCTGTTAATTCACCTATTAAAAATTACTGAGTTTGTCACCCAAGATTTACTGAGTTAGTTAGTAAATCAGAAGGGAGACCCATGGAGCTTGTTTCTAAACTGGAAAAAGTAAATTGTCAATTTTTATAATTTCAAATAACACTTTGACTGCCAAACAATACCCCAAGGAGTCAATTCTGCAGATGTACGTAGTCCTAAATTTGTCATGTATGTGTTCAGATATCCATGCCATCTGTCTTCATGATTTTTAAAAGAACTATTGCTTGTGACCCTTCAGGTTTGTATTTTGCAGTAGAACACGTCAACGATTCCCACACTTTTAGCACCCTCACACTGGTAAAGAAAAGATGGTAATGACTAGAGACTTTTTATGCCTGGCAGCTTGAAAACACTATGGAGAGCAGACAGTCCTTGCACAAGATAAACATGAAAGGTGTGTGAAATTTTTAAAGTCCATATGGTTTCTACAAGGCTGAGCAATTTCATGAGGGACTTCATTTGTTGCTGGTGAAAGTGGCTTGGTCAAAAGAGGTAACATACATAAAAGTATGTTGAGGGGTTATTTGTTTTGGTTAGATCTGTAATTCCATTATTCTGTCTTAGTAAAAGGTGCATGGAAAAGAAGTTTAACAGCAGAGCCCAAACCACAGATTCTCTGGAAGGAGAGTATTAGGCAGAGAAACCATCTTCTGCCTAGACTGAGCTGGCTGAGGGTGGAAGCAGAAGCTGATTTCACAACAGCTGACTGTGGCTGATTTAGTGGAAGTGCTTCAGCTGGGGCTATGACACATTCATTAATGGAAAATACATAACTATGTGAGTATCAAAGGCTCAGACTTTTCCAGTCTTCTGAAGTAATTAACAGCTTCATTGCTTGAACATGTCTACTAGTACTATTGCAAACCAATCGTTAGCATGTAGTAATGCAGTACTCTTGTCAAATCCACTTAGAAGCAATTGCAACAACCTGTAAAAAGGTAGATAACTTAGAGACCTGAACCTGTTTATGTTTTGCTTCACCTGAATCAAAACTGCTGTGCTTAGTTTCTTAACCCATCCTTCTAGTACAATGTGCTGAACAAGGTGTAGGCAAATGAGAAGAGATGCCTTAGGTGTGAGGCTTTTCATTTCTGATATATATATATTTTAAACCTCAGAATACCTTTTTACCTCACAGAAACCATGTTTATAATGGAAATTAAGGATTAAAGAAAACCCTATCATCTTCCTGTGGAAGGTAATTAGTATGGGAAAGTAGAAAGACTGACCTGTTCTATATACAGAAATAATAAAGAAAAATGAAATCAATCAATATAGAATATCTCAATATATGTTGGATAAAACTGCTTAGTTGTGCCTGATTCATCATGAAGAAATTTTTATATTAGGATGACTAATAATTGCCTGAATGAATGACCTCCGATTTCATCAGCATACCTCTGCGGTTCCATGTTAATTAAAATGATCAAGGTAATAGAGTGGTTTGTACATGTGAGATGGCAGTCTGTTGACATCATTCTATCAATACTTGGTCACAGGATGAGTGGTTCAAGTGGCTTGTGGGTGGCAGTGATCAGTAGGTGAGACAGCAGGTAGACAACGCTCTTAAACATTTTTACTTCTTTTCACTTTTGGCTTTTCCATGGCAGTGAACAACATAGAAGAACATAACAGGTGCATATATGTATATATACATTAAAGTAAATTAGGTGGATTTACTTTTTCACATCTAAGCAAAGGGGCATTTAGGGAAAAGTTGTACAAAACTATGTATGCTATGTTTATTTGCCTATAATTTCATTTACACATCATCATAAGCCTAAACCTTTCGTTTGTCACTAGAACTTGAGTGTTGAAAATAGTTCCTTAATTATTCTGGGCACCGTGAACATTTCTTACAATCAGATTATTTCCTCCCAGCATAGAATATAGCTAAACATGTATAATATGTAATATAAATATGATAAGCAGTGTCACTAGAGCTCATCTTTGATTAAGAATTTATTTTACTCTCCTCTTAACAAGGATTGACTGGATCACAGGCCATTTCATTTAGGAGGCTGTATGTGAGAGCTTTGTTGATTTTTAATTTTCCTCCATTGATTTTCTGCATCCAGAGAGCACTTGTTCTCTAATGGCTCTCTGTGTTGGTGTTTGCTTGCAAATTGAAGTAAAAGATAAATGGCTTTCAGGGTAATACCTCTCCAAGGGCTTCCACTTGAGGGTTGGTGGCTGTTAGTAGAGCTGCAGTGTGTTCAGAAAAGTTCTGTGCTCAGAGAAAGACATTCCTGAGTTGCAACATGGTGAAATTAGCTTATTCCTTGCCCTGGTGTGACAACAGTTATCAAGGTGATTGATAATTCTTTAAAAAGGAATAAGCCTGATTTGCCCACATTTCTGTATGAAAGTGAAATGCTCTGCACTTTTTTCAGTAGGCATTTAAATGTTTTCCTTATACATGCTTCCTCAACAACAACAACAAAAAGATTTTTCAGTAAAAGAAAGGGAGAAGAGGTGCTGGTATTTGGTTAGTTACAGACAAGTATTTGAACTGAAATGCGGTAAAGTTATGCTTCTGCTAAGATTGAAAGATTTGGCCTCTCTATTGGAAAACAATATTTGGAAAAGACTATAAATTTAATTTTCAAAATCTTTCCTAGCTTATGAATCTTAAGCTCATATTAAGTGTGAATTTACTTACATTTCGATATTTCAGACCTGCTTAAATGCTGCTGCTGTAACACTTTATTGCATTGTGTCACTGTGCATTGCGTCTTGAAGCCACTGCTAAAGGAAGGGTCCTGTTTCATGCTCCTTATTCATTACCAAGTCAGGCCAGGTTTCGCTGTTTGGAAAAGGCATATGCTCTCCCTAGTTCTGGAGTATAAAACCACGGAAAAAGGAATGTCAGTCTTGTGGAGCTCCAGGGAGATGATGCTGTGGATAGTGAGCCTCATCTCCAGGTGCTGGGTATTTCTTCCCATGGGCTCTTCTGGGAATGATTGCTGCTCATTGCTTCAGTTGTATTTGCATGTCAAGTAGCTTTATACAGTGCATATGCAGTATGCATTTTCATACATTTACATGTTAAAGTTAGGCGAACACATTTTTAAAAGTGTTCAGTTATTAAAGATAAACTGCTTGTCCATGTATCTTGTTTCTTTGTTAGGTTTTCAACTTTTCAAGAGTGTCCTGTAAAAATCAGTAAGAAATTGGCCTAAGGAGCCCCTGATACATTTCTGGTACTCTTTGTTTCTTATGGCACTTGCATTGGGCTTAATTCAAGCAGCTTCCACAAAGGTCTGGAGTGAGATATAAATTCACGTGTGCTGAAGCAGCTTAACAAATGACTCTATTACCAAGCAGGTCTAAGAAACTAAAGACTTAGTCTGGAATGAAGAGGAGCTGCAGATCCTGGGATCCTTTCTCAGTTCTTTGCTCAGTCACTCTGTCTTCCAGATGGATGTTAAGGACAGTATTTCTTTTAGTCCCCAGCCATGCAGTGCCTGGCATCGGTAGGAATTCAAAAACTGGAAGAATGGAGATCTGAATTTCAGGTTGGTTTCTACGTTCTGGCTCGGTAAAAAGTTTAAGCTGTTCATGTTTGCCATTAAGTGTGTGCATGATGCCATTGACTTCAGTTCAGCGCATAAGGTTAAGCATTTGCACAATTGCATTTGGGAACTGGGGAATAAAATGGAATGCACAAAAATTAGTCATTACCAGAGGAGCGGGAGAGCAACCTCTCCATGTCTTAATTTATAAATGAGAAGAGTAGATATTTTCCAAGCAAATGAAGTCACAGTTTTACAGCAAAATGCAGTTTATCTAAAGCCTTCCATTAGCTTTTTTTTTTTTTTTTTTTTTTTTTAAAGCCATAAATTGCTGATGGGTGTATGTGCCACAGGGCACACAGAAATCTTTTGCAGAAGACTTTGTTTCAAGGTTTTGGGGCTTTTCCTTCTAAATAGCTAGGCTTATTACATCATGTTCTTCTGTTTTGTTTCCTCAGTGCAGCTTTCAGGGTGACCTCTGCTGAGATGAAAGGACTAAAACCGCTGTGAATTTTCCTGTTCCTGGAGCAACATCTTCAGCAATGATGGGCAGGCAATTCAATGCTCTGAAAGCAATTGCACACTCCTGAAAATAATCCAAAATAGTCCTGACCAGGCCTGGCAGAGTTCTTAGTTTTCTCTGCCCTTCCTGTATTGCTTATGAATCAGAGCATCAATGTTAAATTGTAAAATGCAGGAATATATGTAATGACCATATTAGTTTTACAGACTGATAAAAGGTGTCTTATTTTTTTCTTGAGGAATTAAAGGGGTACTGTAATGTATTTACATTCCTGCTTGTCTGTTCAGTGGGGGCTCCTCCAGAAGAGCTTGAATCTGGGGCTCTGTTTCTTCACTGCCTTGCTTAGTGTCATTTAAACATGCAAAGTAGTTTAAAGTGCTGCCAATAGTGAGGGCTGGATTTAAGCTTCTGTTACGAGAAGCAATAGGAGAAGGTTGTAAGCAAAATTAGACTGTTTCACAATCCATAGGTTAATCCAAGTGCTTTGAAATGAGTGTGTTGTGTGTGTCTGTTTATCAGCAAGAGATTCTGTAGGAGAGTTTTCATGGAAATGAGCAAGGGTACTATTAGGGAATGGTCCTGGAATAAGAAACAGGTTGATAAAATAATGAATGTTTTCCATAATAGTTCTTTTTAATAAGATGCCTAACAAGGGAGTTGAGGGAGGGCATTGGAGTGGTCTGAAACTGAAAATCAAGCATTTTTATGGAAATAGCCTCATTAGAGCTGCCTGTTAAAGAAGTGCAACTGTTTTTCTATGAACAGGATATTCATTCAATGATTGAAATATGGTTCTTAAAAAATACATCCTGTCAGTTTTATTTTTTTTTGGTCTAGGTGTTTCATGAATGCTATTTATAAGCAGTCTAGAAATATTGGCCCAGAAAGCCTGGAGCACATCTACCTGCTTTATAGTAGCCTGGTAATACAATACAACCTACAAAATAAAGGTTTAGTTTATTACCTTTGGGTATATTACTAATACAAATCAGTAAATAGATAAGTGGTTCTACACTGCAACATGTATTGTCTAATGGTGATGAACCAGACACAAGCTGGTTTAAGTTCTTTGCATTATTCATAAGAAGTTACATGAACTAATGACTTATTTTACAATATATTTTACAATTTATTTTTAAAGAGCAGTTCTAATCAGATCACTCTGCCCTCAGCTTCGTCTGCTTGAGCAGAAACCTGGGCTGGAGACCTCCTGAGGTCTGCTGGGCTCCTGGGGTTAGTGAATGACACACACGTTCAGAATTTTGTTCCATGGTTCTTTCAGTCAGAGGTTATGATTTACTTAATGTGTTTTTATTTTATATGTCCATTTGTTTATCTGGAATTTCTGCTATCAGGAAAATCTGCTTATGAGTTGAGTTTTTTTTCAGGTAAGTCGAGAAGTATGAATTGCACCATTTATGTTTACTATCTGGTTATATATTGTAGAGTTGAAAACACCATGAGAAAGGAAAATGCTATGAAGCATGCAGTATAAATCCTTGAAATAGATCCTCTGAGTCTTAAAGTCACCAATTTCTTACTGCTCGTGGTATGAAAAAACGTTGGTTCAATTCTCCAGTTGGTCACAGGTCCCATTTTAATCATTTATTTCTCGTTTCCTTGATATCCATTCCCCCTTGTAAGTATCTGAACTAGACTTTTTGCAAAACTGTAGCATTTCCTTCCTCCCCTTCCCCTGATGGGGCAAATAATTGGTGCCTTGTTAGACTGAGAGCATCCTGATTTCTGAAGGGATGGAAAACTACACTGTTGTAAGCAAGATGACCCAACTTCACTTGGTTTTGTTGTGTTATGTATATTGATATTGGTTCTTTTGTTGCTTGGCTGACTTGTCACTTAACAACCTCCCTGATTTGAAGTCTAAGCGGCACGCTTTAGACCAGTTGAACCAGAGAGGCACTGGTGATCTATTGTGTGGGAGTTAAAGATGTATGAAGCTGTGGTTTGCAATTCAGTGAATGCTGCACATTTCTTGTGGCAGATGCCATTAGTTATGGTTTCCCTTCAAGCAAAAGGTTTGCAAGTGACTTTGTGCTGAGTTCATTGGTAAAACAGAAAGCTGTAGTACACAAATAGGGTATTCACTCCATTACTGAGCAATGCCCTCACCTGCATATTTTTTTATTTTGCATAACATTACATACTTTGCTATTTATTGACAGGGTTTCCCTCCCTCCCTCCAAGTTGTTCAAACAAAGACATCAAAACATGCTAAAGAGTTGTATCCAACCCCTGGCAAAAGTGAGGGTCAGGTGCTGGAACACAATTTTTCATGGAAAAGGAGACACAGAGAGAGGTAGAGGGAATTGAGGCAAGCCACACACCATGTGTGACTGAATCATGGATGGCTTGCAGAGTGCTGATTGCATTCCAGTTAATAGTCCTGGTTCACAACCTTTAGTTTCTGAGTTACTTAGGCATATATTCTCACTGTGCAGTGCATGAACTGCTGGGTCTTTCGCTGTTGACACAGAGTATTGAAGGTAGACTTGTGCAGAATCTTTCCTCCTTCCTTTCTTCCTTCCTTTCTTTCTTTCTTTTTTTTTTTTTTTTTGAAGTCTTTTTTAGTGGAGGCAAGCTGTGAGAATCTCCAATGTGCCTACAGGTGAAGTGCATTCTGTACAGCACGTTTGGTGACCCCTTTCAGCTCTTCCAGTAAACAGCGGAGCACGTATTGCTGGGCTTTGTGTTGGCATTTTCATCAGGTTTCTGAAGAGGCAACATTGCTGTCTAGATCAATAAAACTCAGTTAGATTTACTGATTACACTATTCCCTTTTCCCGAGACAAACAGCAAGTTAGTAATTGCATAGCGTACTATATTTTCTACCAGCTATACCCAGCCACACCTGTCAGTTTGCATGTATTGTAAGACAGGGTTTGGATCACTTCAGATCTCTTTCTTCTCTTATAGTGCCGTGAGCTGATGGACTTCCTTTAGTGGAAAAGGAGAAACATGCTTTTCATAATCAGAGTCCACCACTGCAGTCTTCAGAGCAGTGACCGTAACACGAAACAAATCTTCTGAGATTTTAAGAGGTTAGGTTGTGAAGGCTGAGTGTGCTATCTTAAAAAAAGAGGTGAACTATTTCAGTATAGCATACTAATGCATACTAATTTATAGTTACAAATTAAGATACTGTAGTATGTTCAACTGATCTACACTAACACTGTTTTTATTTATTTATTTATTTATTTTCTGGAATGCGAATTAACTTTTTGTTATTGCCAAGACTTTGCTAGGAATGTTAGATGCATATCTCATACCTACTATTTTCCTGTATATTGTCAGGCACGTAAGTTTGTGAAGTAGTAGGTTTCCAGCACGCATAAAAGCTCTGGACTTAGTATTAAGTGTAAGGGTCTCTTGAGCAAACTAAATGCCAGTCAAGAAAACCTGATGTTAAAGTCTACAAGTAATTAATTCATTTAATCAAGCCTATCTGTATATCTGCAAACCACTGTGCTACATGTTAATGGGCAAGTCTCTTCAACTGTCTTTTTTTCTCACTAGGTTTGGTAAAGCAGGTACATCTCCTCCTTGAAAATTCAGGTCATGTACGACTCCTGAGGAAAATACATGCTAAATAACGCAAAATAGGTAGATGAGAACTTCCATTCCCATAATCACATTTTCTCCAGAATTGCTGTTGCTTTTTAGTAATCTATTTACTGCTATAAGAGTGCTGCAATTACTGTCCTAAAGTATACTTACTGAAGGACTTCGTAACTATCTCTGAGATATGCCCTCCTTTAATTTGACTACCTACTAGGGAGTTACAGATACTCCCTCACAGCTTCCTTACTTCTGGAGCATAGATTTTCAGTTGACACAAGCAGACAACATTTCACTGATAACACTACAGATTTTGAGCCCTGTCTTTGCCATGCACTCTCCTGCACTTCTGTTGCTGCTGCTGGAAGAGGATCTTCTCATCAGCCTTCAAAATTTCTTCTGTTAAACGTAACTGCTTTACCCTCCCTGTTGCGGGGCGTGCAAATATCATATACCTGGAGAATCTGTGGGAAAAGCAGGGAAGGATTCAGTGATGCCGAATTGCCCCCTTCTAGGAGGTTGTGTCTCTTTAAAAAAAATAATGTTGATAGTCTCGGGGCATGATTCTCCACTGTCCTCGAACCTGTTTAATGACTTCTAAAACTGAGAGGTAAAGCTCCAAATTCCCTCTTACTCTTTTAACTCAGTGACAATGCAAAATGAAGGCACCAGAGAAACAGGCCTGTTTTTGTGCTGCAGAAAGCAATGATTTGAGGGCCCTAATGCTAGGCTTAATAAACGTTCTCAAGAGTACAAGCAGCCTGAATTTCCTAATGACTATTTTATTAAATTTCAGGCAACCGTTTCTCCGAAATTATCATCTTTGTTTTCTTTGAAACAGAATGACCCGCAGCTGAACTGTGCTAAGACACAGGTTTAACAGAATTATCCCAGCTGCTAATAGAGAGTTAGAAAAAAAAAAAAAACAGGTGCTAGATTCACTGCTGGTATAAATTGATGCAATTAGATGGCATTGAGGGGAGTGCTGCTTGTTATAGGAACCTGAGGATCTGGTGGTTGGGGTTTTTCTGAGACTGATGGGTAGCCTGTAGCTGCTATTTTCACACGTGCTTTGTTGTTTTGCTTACGGTGAGATAGTGCAAATACTTCTTTTTAAGTCTTAGAGATTATTTTCTTGGAGTTTGAAGAGTCTCCTGAATCTGACCTATTACAACCACTAATGCTTCCCAGCTCTTGAAGAGCACGATGTGCTGTCTGCCTGGCTGGTTATGAGCCAGCCTCTCAGAGATACTGAACCTCCCTAAGGTAGGCATCAATACATGGGATTTCTTTTTTCACTTAACAGTATAGATGTACTTAAAAGGAAGTTCTATTTTCAAGGAAAACTGTCTTGTCTCTTTGAAGATATTTACATGCGAGCAGTATCTGTGTATCTGCATCATGGTCTTAGCCAGTGGTTTGCAGGTAATAATATTGAATAAGGGAAAGAAATTGGCAGCTTCATGTTTTCCAGGTTGTCTACGGCTTAGGGAGACTATACCTGTGGCTTTCTTCATTAGATAAATCCATCTTCTGTAGAAATTATTATTTTTAATATTAGAAGTCATCAATGAACAGCTTAATCTCATTATTTTCACGCGGTTTCCTCGTAGTGCTCTTAAATTATAAAATCTACAGGAGATGGCTGCAATAGAAGAGAGTCACTATCTAAGTCCAGAGGGATCTTCAGAGAGAAATGCTAGACTGCTTTTGTCCAAAGCTGTGTTTTTCAGTATTGATCTATGATAGTGTAATTTCTGTGATGAGTTGAGACTTCCTTCTTTGTTTTTTTTGAAACTGAAGCAGTAATTTTATGTTAAAGGTGTTACTTCAGTAATCCGTGCTTACTCCTGTATGTAGAACTAAAAGTCTTCAAACGAAATAAAGGCAACTATGCTGAAGATATTTTGAACATCTTTACTATTTTGGATATCTGAACTAACACGTTCTCAGGTGATTATTGCCTGCTGTTTTCTAAAGTAGGGACTGTCTTCAAGTGTGTATACGAGACTGAGATATCAAATCCTTTATTTGTGACTGCCATTTAGGTAGCATATTGTAGCTAGAGGGAAGGGCTAAAAATGTTAAATGATGTGTCCTGGGACGCAGATATGAATTTCAGAGGCATCATTAGGATTTGGAAAAAAAAAAAAAAAAAAAGCACCGCACCCTTCATGGATTTACACATTTTGGTGAAAAAAATCTTGGACTCTTTAAATTTCCTTGCAATAGTTTTAGATTTTTT